TAAACGTGTGCCTCGGAAATTGTTTACATTAATCGTGACCAAAACATTTGAGACCCACTGAGATAACTTATACTAAAGTTATCTAAACACTCAGAGAGTCCTTTAGTTCACTGAGCCTTTCAGTCTGACAGGAGAGGACCTCCTCCACCTTGTTGTTGAAAAAGCTCCTTATATCCGTTAGCGTAGCTCGCTAGCACCAGAAGCTAACAACAACGATCTCCGGTACCAGTGCGCTCTCTCTCTCTCACTCGCACACGCACACAAAATGGCTCGTTCCACACACACACAGAACCGAGCTTGAATGAAACACAGAGACCCAGACGTAGTTGTACTGTAGCATATTATTTTCGAATCAATAATTTTTCAAATTATGATTCTTTTTTTTTTTCCTCCTGGTCTCTCGCGCCCCCCCCTGTCATGCCTCTGCGCCCCCCAGGGGTGTTGAGAAACACTGGATTAGGTAAACTGGGTAACTCAAAAATCCAGGGTATGCTGAACTGGATTCGTAGTACAGGCCTCTTGTCATTCTAATTTGTCCTCTGTTTGAACTACCAATGAAAGTGGACAAAATTACTATTAATATATTTTAAATAATTTTACTTCATAGGCTACTGACTGAGACTTTTTTCCCATGAAATTTTTGATTCACTGATCACTAAAAGCCTGACCCTCCTCATCCTCTCTCAGATGCTCCCAGGAAAGTCACGCTGTCAATGACTCCTTCAGTCATCAAAGGAGGTGCGGTGACCTTCAGCTGCAGCAGTGACGCTAACCCCCCCGTGCCCCAGAGCGGATACAGCCTGCACAAAGACAGACACCTCATCAGTTCAGGACAGAATCACACCGTGTCCAACATCCAGCCCCCCCACAGCGGCCTGTACTCCTGCCAGGCCTGGAACAACATCAGCCGGAGCGGCATCAGTCGCATCAACTCCACCCATCTGCACCTTGACGTCCTGTGTGAGTGTGTGGAGGCTGGGGTCAGATGTCTGTGTGTCAGTGTGTTACTAAAAACGGTGTCATAGTGGATTCAAGCATGACGTTCACTAATGACAATGCATGATTAAATTCATTGCAATCTAATGACTGCACCATGCTATATTGGTTCCTGGCCTTTTAGGCTTGTGAATAAAGCCTGGTTGACCCTCAGCACTCGATATGGTCTCGAGTGAACACTTTAACCAGTTTCCTATCTTAGATTATACAATTTCAGGTATGTTTTGAGACCTGACTAGGTTAAAACATCCAGTATTTCCACAGCAAAAAGCCAAATTAAGAGGAAAGTCTGAAAAATAATCAAGTCAAAGTTTCTCTTTATGCCTTTGAGTTATCATTCTAATCCCTAAATTGCTGAGTGAGCCTTAAAAATCATCTCCAAGGTGGATAAAACTGTCAACATGTTTTTTTTACTTTCTTCAGACCGTCCAGAGAACATTTCCATTTCGATGGACCCTCTGGATGTTGCAGAGGGCGGCAGTATGAATCTGAGCTGCAGCAGTGCCGCTAACCCCGCAGCTCACAGCTACACCTGGTTCAGGCAGAGTGCCCCCAGCCTCAGCTCCATGCTGCGGGTGGGCTCAGGACCGCTGCTGACCCTCCCCTCTTTGGACGCGTCCCACACCGGACTCTACCTCTGCACGGCCAGGAACCAGCTGGGGGAAAACAACTCAACTGAGGTGATGCTGACCATGAGGAAAGAATATCAAGGTCTGTGTCATCTTCATATATTACTGCTGCTGGGTTCTTCCAGAAATAGCATCTAAAGTGTATATTTAATACAAAGTTGCTATTATGTCTTTAAACGACAAAAATGACTGTATCAAAAACCTGCAATAAAGAAATGTTTATATCAATATAATAATGTCACTGTAGTTTTTTTATGAGGGAAAATATTTAAATTACTTTCTGTATTAACCACCATTAGGGGAAATTATTGTATTTATAGTCTGGGTGAGCATAAATAGACAGTGTATTTTAGTGCCTTTTATTTTCTTGTGCAGGAAACCAGAAAGATATATTCTGTATTTGCCACATAGGCCAAGAAAATGGCTCAATTTGGTAGCAATTTGTAAAGGTAAATGAAATACAGGGCTCCAGATACAGATGCTTTAATGGCTGTGGTGTCAAACCTTGTGGATTAAATATGTTTTAATGTGGACATTTCTAAGGAGCTGAGGTTGTATAATGTGAAGTAAATACAAATCTTGCAAAGATAGATGCCATACACAATAACGGCCAAAATGATCACCAAAAAATTCAAAACATGTCCCTAGTGAGGCTCAAGGGTGTGAAGTGTCGTCAGTCAGAGGTGCAGTAGTGTAACAGATCTTTGTGTTTCTCCACAGGCGAACAGACCGTCCCTGTTTTAGCTGGAATTGGAGTGTGTGTATTTGTGGCGCTGCTGTTAGGTCTGCTTCTGTTCTGGTGAGTAACGGGAGGATGGGGGGAGGGAGTGTGACTTACTCATGTCATAATCGCTGTTCACATTCTCTTTTTCTACATTTCTTGTAACTTTTTTCAATGTCTTTCACCCAATGCTGTCATAGCTGCATGTACGACAGAGTGTAAGGGCTGTGTGTGTCATCCTAATTTCCACATGCTGACACTTTTAACCATTTACTCATTTTGTCTGCCGTTGGCAAAATGTTTTAAGTAGGAGCTTCAACATATTATTAAATGATGATCTACTCCATAGTGCAGGCGAAATGTTATTGCCAGTCTCATTCATATCTTTTTTAAATACCTTTATTTCAGATGTACGCCACATATTATGAACTGACAATTAGAAAAGATATACAGTATATTATCAAAACATTTTGTCTACTGAGCTTGTAGTTTTTAGAAATAACAAGCTGCTGCTGTTTTCCTTTTCTTACAGAATAACCTCTCTAAAATATGACATCAACGAGTAAATAAAAAACATACAATGTTTTTTTCTCCACATTAATTTATTTTGTTGTCTTGGTAGGCTGAAACAGAGGACCCGTGCAGAGAAAAAAGTGAGTATTACAGGTCATTTAATTAAAAATGATGTTGAAATGTCAGATTTCAGTTCCCTCTCAAACTGAAATTCATATACAAATACTTTTGAAAGGGGACATACAGAAAGTAAAGGCTCTCAGTCTGCATGCTAAGGGAGATTGCTTAGTTTCCTGTGGTTTTCCCCATTATGAAATGTCCTAACCTGAACTCCTCCTACTTGCAATAGTAGAAAGTTTATAGAGCCAAGGCACATGATGGTAGTTTCCCAATGGGCAGCTGCAGTGGAGAAATAAAGGGAAGTAAAAGGATGACTCAGCAAAAAACCTAATCAGATTTTCAATGTGCTCCTCTCAGTCGACTGTGTTCGACTTTAGGCTCAGTGGGAGAGGCTCGAGCTCCTCAGATCCATCTGACAGTGTTTACGCCAACATCCAGCAGGTGCTGCCATCTCCTCCGCCTGCTGCTCAGGAGATCACTCCTCTTTCTCAGAGGTCACACCATGAGCAAGAGGTAAATATGGGGCATTTTTAATATATCATCTCTGCTCACATTGATCAGATTTTGAATGAAGTGACTCTTCTCTTCCATCAGGCACCCATGTCTTATGAAGATGACATAACCTACGCCACAGTGACCATTAAACCCATAAACTCCACTCATCACATGAACAGCAGGTAACTGTCCGAATAACCACCTGATCACAGCTCCTCAATGCTCAATGTAGCACGTCAAGTTCGTGTGAAGTCTTTAGTCACCTTACTGTATAAAATAACACATTTAAAAAACGAAATAGGACAGTCAAATTATGTTTATCGTTTTATTTAGCTGTTGACAGCTGTAGGCCTTTACAGTAACTGACGTCATGTGAGCTCGAGCCCCTTCCTCTCGCCCCACTTATATAACATTTAAAGAAGACTTTGATATTTTACTTTTCTAAGTGAAAATATTCAGGATTCTTTTCCTTCTAATTTAAAACGTATACATTTAGCCAATTTGCACCGTTAGGCACACATCATTTTCATATTTGCATTGGCTTTACAAGCAATCACACGACCTCTAAATCTGATTAATATTGCTTGCCCATCAGCCTGGAAGAAATCTTAAAACCCTAAGTTAAAGTCCCAGTTATTTTGCAAATAATTATACTATAAATTAAATATATATAGTGTGTATTTATTCATGTTTTCAGTATTTCCCAACATTTTAAATACTCAGTCCAAATATATTTTCTTGCTTAAAATATAACTATCCAGCTTATAACCCAACATATAATATGTCTATACTCTACTACAGCCTTAATGACAACACAATTGAATTTCAAGTAAAATGACTATACTGTTTTTATTTGTTTCATATATGATTCAAAAGAATGGTTCTGGCATAAGGCATCAGTGCTGCTGTTATAAGGCTGCTGTCCCCGCATCACCTCCAGATGCTGCAGTTTGGTTAAAGTCCACTAACACCATAATTTAACCATCCCATAATATCCTCCTCAGGTCCAGAGCTGGTGATGATGATGACTCTGTGATCTACGCTTCACTGGCCTGACCTGTTCACTCCTTTAGGCCGGGTTCATCTTTATCAAGGAATGACGCCGTGTGGCGTCTTAAAAGTTCAATCTCTCAGGAGGGTTAAAAAGAGATATAAGAGCATCTTTTAATTTATTTGTAATAAACATATATTTATTTATATTTTTGCAAGGCTTTTTTGTTATAGTTTGTACATAAATATTTACTAAATACACTTATTTCATGTTTTTTATATACTTAAATGAAGTTGTGGGTTACTAAAAAGTATACTGAAGTCTGTACAGTTGGTAATACAAATGTATGAATACAGCATGGCTATGGGCAAATTGTTTTATTTTTATTTCAATACAATACACAATGCTACAATTTACATTTAACAATATCAATTTTCTCTTTCACACATGAAAATTACCATAAATGTACATGCATGCACCACTTCAAATGTAAAGCCTCTGGGAAGTAATTTGGACTTTATGGATTCAGATTCAATAGTAGAATTCCACATAAGAATTTAGACTTTTTTCTAAATACAGTTGTGCATTTTTCAGTGTGCAATCAAGTGTGTCACCTCAAACATCCACATTTCACAGTGTAGTCAAATCTAAAACCCAGTGCTTTTGTCCTTTTGTGTGTCTCAATGTAATACAATAAAACACTCTTATTTTAAAGTGTAAGTTCAACGTAATGTAAAAGCAATATAAAGATTTAAAGCACCCTGCCACTTTAATCTCAACCATACAAGTGTGCATGTGACATAGTGACACAATCTATATTGTATATTGTATTTCTGAAATATTGGTGGTTTATTTGAAGTGTTACTGTAGTAGCAGAGGGGGCGTTTTAGTATATAATACTATTGGTCATGATTGAGTATACACACTCCTGCCAGTTGGCTTTGAGATATGTAAATCAAATGCAACATGTCTCAAATAAACATCTACATAAACAAAACATTACTAATATTTACAAGACATTAACAACATACTGTTTTCAATAGAAGCATCAACTCCATGTGGGGATTTTCTGAAGACAGATCTTGAATTAATAATAATTTTTCATACAAAAGTCAGTATACTGCATATAAAAAGACATAACATGTATTACACCAGAGTTTAATTATAAAAAAGATGTACGTGTGCTGTGATTTTACCAAATAGAACACACAAGTTCATGGTTTTCTTAGATCTCTCATTGTGTGTGTGTGTGTGTGTGTGTGTGTGTGTGTGTGTGTGTGTGTGTGTGTGTGTGTGTGTGTGTGTGTGTGTGTGTGTGTGTGTGTGTGTGTGTGTGTGTGACCCACATGGGACAGAGTAGCACCTAGACATAACGAATTTAAAACTCATCATTAATGAACCCTTGTTATTACATCTATAATTTTTAAATGTGCATTTACAAGGCTGAATTCAATGTATTGATTTTTTACTAAAAATGTATCTTATATTGTGATAAAGTGATCATTTTTTAAAATTAGTTTTTTACTTTAAAAAGGTCACTATTAAGCAAAATTCCCTTTTTCATGTATTTTATATACATATATGTATCCCCTCTGTGTTAAGAGATTTGGAAAGTTTCAGGAAAAAAGATTCTCTCTGTTTTTGTCCAGATCCATCGATATAAAAACTGTCTGAACACCTTTAAAAAAAGTAAGTTAATCTACTTCCATAAGTCTTTGTTTTTTAAAGAGCCCTGTCTGTGTGTTTATTAGGAGTCTTGGTGGGCATTTACGTTGTGTTTAGGTTCAGGAAGAGGTTGAATCCACAATATGAAAAAACGTTTTAGTTAAGAAGGGGAATGAACAACCATGATATGTGGAGAACGTTTCAGCTCTTCATTCAAGAGCAGAAAAAGGTGGAAACATAAGAGCAAGAGTCTCAAGTTCGGGCCATTTTGTGAAGCCCCGGCGTGTTGTTATAGTTCTGAAGGAGAGAGATGAGAGCTGATGTTAAAACACATTCATAATGTCACAAGAAGACAGTATGGAACCTGAAGCACACATGTATCCTAAATGTTGTAACTCTGACCATAACTATTTGTGTTTTTGCTGATTGCAACATTTTGGTTCCTTATTGGAAATTCTATATTTTGTGTGTGAGAGGAAATGATGGACGCACAAATGAAAGAGAGGAACTTAAGCGATTTATTTCTCCTGTGTTTATAACTTGTTGTAACAGTTAGTTTGGCCTCAAGAGGTTGAAGTGATCCCCAGCCCTGTGTTCTCATTAGAACTCAAAACATGAGATTTAATTTCTCAATGCACTGTAAACACGAGGTACATACTGTATATTGTGTGAAGCCAGTGTTTCCATACCTTGTTGGTTTATAGATGAGCTGAATGCCAGTGACTGACTGTTCTGTTACTGTAATTATTATCTCAGTTAAAGAATCCCTTTTCTTACCCTCATGGCCGTGGACATCCAGGGCAGAAATCTGGACACTCGGGTGTAGACGCCCGGTTTCTTGGCCAAGGCGCAACCGATCCCCCAGCTCACCACACCCATCAGACGATACCTCCTGCTCTTAGAGAAGCAGTCTTCTGCAACAAGAGGGCCACCGCTGTCTCCCTGAAGACACAGACCATTACAGCAGTTCACACACAATACAACAACCCATTTTAGGCAAGCATTTACAGAAATTGAAGTGAATTGTAATGCAATAAAATGTATTAAAAGTATATGTATTGGATTCAAACAGGCATGAATGTTGCGGGCAGATTAAACGCACTCTGACCTGGCAGGCATCAGTGCCTCCTTTCTCATAACCAGCACAGAACATACTGGTGGTGATCTGGTTGTCATAGTAATCAGGACCGTTACACACAGCGTCACTGATGATGGGGACGTTCGCTTCCTGCAGAATATCTGCTTGAATACCTGCGGTTGCGAAAAATAAAAAACATTAAAAAAAACATACTGTCAATTACTGTTAAGGCCTTTAAAGTATTGCAATATTAATTACTTTTTATATGTAGTTATATAAATTGAAGTATACAGTTTAAACTAGCTCTCTGTACTTTTACTTAAGTAACATTTTAAATTCTGTGTACCTTTACACTGTATCATGGCTACTTTTAATGAAGTTAAATAACTAATTCCACCATTGAAAATAGATTATGTTGATAAAGGAATGCAAACACATAAAGTTAATACCATAGAGATGTAATTCAGAGGATGGACTCACCATAGTAATCTATATTTCCCCAGCCTGTTACTGTCCCCATCTGTCCGTCTACCAGTCTTTGACCATAGGCTGGCAGGCAAATAGGCTGCACATATTCTACACACAAACAAATGATATAAGAAATATATTAATACTGCACACAATAATTCAAACACTGCAACATTTGACAGGACAGGGATACCAATAGCCAAGAACCACCACACAAACTGAAACTCTAGATTTGTTAGGATTATACTATTTGTCCGGTTATTTCCTGTAATTTTTTCTCTCCCATTACAATATCATGTCTTTGTTTTCATTATCATATGTCGGCGTAAGTGAAGTTCTCATTGGATCATGGCATCTAGGCTGAAGTAAATAGTTTATAATCCAAAGCAACAGGCTTTTAAAGATGTAAACCACATGTTTTCTATTTTTTAGCACTGAAACAGTTCAATGCATTGAGCAGCTACTGTGTCCTCCTTGCTTATTTTCACTCCAGGGGAACTTGTGCTGTGGTTGTAATTATGAAAGCAAACACTAGATGTCAGACGAGGCACCCTGAAACATTTTGCTTTTAGAGTTTATCATTGTAGTTTCTACCTCTGCATAGTGTGTTATACACAACATAACTTTTTTTAGTGAGTTACTCAGATGAGTACCAGGAGACAGCGTTTGGTACTCACCCCACACAAAGCGTGGTGTTAATAAGTGCAGTCTTCTTCACTGTCCTCCTCAGTGTCTCCTTCTCTGTCCTCTATTTACACTTCTTGCATGGTAGATGATGAAGATGCTGCAGATGCACCTCCCTGTCCCAAAACGTGTTGGCAAAACTGTGAAGCCCTTGCATTTCCTGAGGCCAAGTTGAGAGATCAAATACTAAGAAATTATCACATGATGTCATATCAGATTTCAGATGTGGGAAGTAACTAAGTACACTTATTCAAGTACTGTACTTAGGTACAATTTTGAGATACTTGTACTTTACTTGAGAATTTTTATTTTATGCTACTTTGTACTTCTACTCCACTACAGTTCAGAGGTAAATGTTGTACTTTTACTCCACTACATTTATTTAATACCTTTAGTTACTTTACAAATTTGGATTAATGATGTGAAATATTATCAACTCTTAAATCAGACTAGTTACACCTGGAGTAAATTCACAAGCTAGCCTTGAGAACACTTTAATGATTAATAATTATAAAACAGATTATTCTGAGATGGACCAATCTGCACAATGACTACTTTTACTTTCGGTACTTTGAGTATATTTTGATAAGTCCACTGACACAAATGTAACATATGTGATATTGGGCTATATAAATACACATTGATTGATTGATTGATGATAATACTTTTCTACTTTTACTTGAGTAACATTTTGAATGCAGGACTTGTACTTGTAACAGAGTATTCCTACACAATATCTGAGCACTTCTTCCACCTCTGTCCGATTACAAACTCTTCCATTAACAGCCTGAGTAAGTTTGCAGCTGTAGGTTTTGCTCCACCTTGTTGTAAATAAAACTGCAGCAGCTTGACCACAGAACGTGAACGTTGTGATCAGCTAATGTGTCGCAGTTCTCCAGTGTGTGCGCGGTGCATAGAATGTGCACAGGGGAATGTCCCTCCGCAGCCAGTTGGCGTAGTTTTGGCACAATTCCGTTGAACATACCGACGGTAACAGCAGCCCTGTCTGTGCACACTGGAAAAGCTCCACGGGTCTGTCGGTTATGGTCTGTCGGTTATGGTCTGTCGGTTATGGCCTGCGGTTCGGCCAGCACCCAGTTCAATCAATCCAAGAAAGTCCGAAGATTTTTAGCAGGGAGCAAAACGCCAAAGTGGCTGCTTAATGTATTTGAGTTTTTTGGACATGTCTAATAGTTTACTCCACTGAGTGTTGACAAGAAACACGTGTAGACAAAATATGTGTTTTGCTTTGATGACCTATCAGGTACGCAAAGGCGCGTAGTGACACAAGTGACGTTACGCATTTCAGATGTTTGTCGCGCATCGTACCTGCGTTATGTGCAGTGGGGAGGCTGTGGCACAGTTGACAGGTTCAAACCCCACTGCAGTCAGCATGTCGTTGTGTCCCTGGGCAAGACACTTCACCCCAAATGGCTCCTGTGGGGATTGCCCACAGTATCGAGTAGCGAGGGGTAATGTTAGGATTTTATCGATACCGATACTGCTTATCGATACCGGTATTTTTCGATACTCTTATCAATACTTTTCANCCGACTTTGTTTTGTTTTGTGTATAAAGCAGATGTGCACAAAGAACAGTCGTTCGTCACCTCATTTAATACTCTGTTTTTTCTTCTGTAATTCCGTCGGTGAAACGGCAAATCGAGGGATATTTTTAGAAGCCTGAAAAGATACTTGCACTAACTGTTGACCCACGACGCAGGTACGCGCGGCGTCCTGTATTGGCTGCCTGGACACTTCGATACATGTCTACTTTTCTCTCCGAATCTAGTCGACCCTGCTGTCTCAACCTAGCGGTACCAACGTGCCTGCCCCGCGACGACACATTGCAGTCATACTTGTTGTATTACATCGGTTTGTATGCAGAGTTGACATACGGCCGTCCCCATCGAATCACTTAAAATGAGGTCCACCTTGATTTAGACTTTCGACTAAATTCTGAACTAATATAATAGTGCGTAGTTAAGTAGTAAGGACATTGGGCGATTGATTTCAAAAAGGTCTATGTCACAGATCACCTCTTTTCATGTACTAACATGGAGACTTGAAGATCTCTCATCTCGCGGTCATGTTTCATCGGTTTTTTGTATCTTTATGAGCTGCGATGTAGATGTTCTATAGAATTTAACATGAACTTCATGTCTGACTTATTCACATGAGATCATTGAAGGGTGAGACTGCTTAGCTTAAACTGAAAGTTCAGTACACTCACTTAAAGAACTCATGAAACTAGAAGTCTGAACCGGGAGTAGGCTTTGACGTTCCTTAAGTGTGCAAAACCGTTGTTCATAAAACCTCTTTCGTTTAGCCTCGACATCTCTCCTTTCTCTGTCCTCCACCCGCCCCCAGAAGTGAGCTAGAAGTCAACGTAGATCGTACGGTTCTCTCACATTTTATCTCCTGTCTACTTCCTCTGTGAATCGGCCCTACTGTCACCTGTCTTCTGACTGAATCAATTGTGGCTGCGAAACACGACCCCCACTCATGGTTTGCGCGCACAGGAGGTCCGCCGCGGGGCGTACCCATGAAGTAGACTCATTGAGTGATTTTTTCACATACCATCGAGCACATATGTGCTGTGCATACGTACTTCCATCTTTGATGTTACTTTTGAGATTTTCGTTTTATCAAAGTCACGCCCACGGAGGCGCAGACTGGTAGACTCACAACCGAAAGGTATTCATGGATTGGCTGTCGTGTCACGGCGGACCCCTCCTTTTATGTCGTTCCTCCTGTGTCATCGACGAGTTACGAACTTGTACAAAGTCCGATTTCTGTTATCTTTTGTCACACCCAGAATGTAGAGATCTCGCGCAACCGCACCTCCTCAGCGAACTGCTATCTTTGTTCCTCGCGCACTACCAGTGCAGATGGGACTGAATCCGATAGATTGCTGACCCGGCGGGAGCGGCGTTCGCCGTTCTCTTGAGTACCGAGCGCGTGCACGCTCGAGACCCTTCTCTGGATATCCCCGTAATCTTGGATCTGGTCCACGCTATAGCATATAAGAACGACCGCCATCGCGAACCTAGGGGGTCAGTCTCGACCAACTACACGCGGTCCCTTTCTTCAGAGCCCGAGAGACGACCTTGACGATGAGGCGCTGGCGCTGGTGCTATTCGCCTCTCTCTACCCTAGCCTACCTATTCATTGTTCACTATCATAATACAATAATTACTTTGTGTTTCTGGTACTATAACATTACCCTCTCTTTATTTAATGTCCTTTATGGCCTTGTTTATCAGCGTACCTGCGTACCAGTTATGTGCACCCCTGGATATACAAACAAAAACCCTACAGACATATGACTCTGTGTGTAAATATTGAATTAAAGGAGTCATGGGATTAGAAATAGAGACACATCTTGTACAGGGCTAACAGATGTTGTCAATATATTAAAGGTCACCTATTATATCAAATCCACTTTGTCATGTATGTTATACATCAACATGTGTCCCCTCTGTGTAAAGAGATTCTGAAAGTTTCAGGTAAAAAGATTCCCTCCCTTTTTGTCCTGATCCATTTATATAAAAACCTGTCTGAAAATGAGCTGATCAGATTTTGGCCACTTTATGTCATAACGATGTTTTGCCCCCCCACCTTATCACCTGAATCTCCTCCTAGAGCACCATTGTGTTCTTTTTAACCAAATATCTCTGGGGCGTGGGGAGTGGCTCCTTATTTTCATCTAAAGTAAAAGACAGAGAATCAGCACTTTTGAAACAGAGGGGATTATGGGATGCTGCAATGATCTGTTTGGTATTTCAAGCCAAACATTTTAGAGACATGTTTTGTATATATCTGAGACCTATAATATATTGATGTAAAACAGTATAACAGGGGACCTTTAAGATCATTTTAATCCTGCAATCCAGGAAACAGAGGACATAAAGCAGGCAAACAACCGTAATGACTGACTGTCTATTTATTTGACCTTCTTCTTCATATCTGATCATAGCTCAAATTCAATCAAATACTCAAGTTTGTCAATGAGTGATTTGATGAATATGAGTGGGTTTTCTTGTGTGACCTACCGTTGAAAGTGAGGGGCTGTGTGAGGGCAAGAACAGCGATGTCCCTGCTGTTGTCGTCGATGCTAGCATCCACAAAGGGCAGGTAGCTGCTGTGGTAAACGATGGTGTTCACCTCCGCCACGTTAGCGTTAACTGGTTTGCTGTAGATCGAGCCCAGCAGCACACGCCAGCGATTAACGGTGCGATATCGCCTGGGATGGAATAAAATAAATATGATCCAATATGTGCTTAAAGATCAAATGTGATTACTGCATGAGTCCAGGCTTGTGTACTCACTCTCTGAAGCAGTGAGCTGCAGAGACGATCCAGCGGTTGGAGATGATGGCGCCTCCACACTGATGGACTCCATCGTACTCCAGTCTGACCTGCCAAGGCCAGCCACCCTGCCTGGCATCCACACCTCCAACTATACGGTCCGCTGCGAAACTACGCCTGCCACAGTCTGCAGAGGACAGAGAAGAGAGGGTTTACTGTGGTTTAAACTGTAGGTGAAGAATCAAATATATAAAAAAAGAGGAAATATATAGTATGCTAGAATGAGAGTAGGTGAATAAAATATCAGAGCAATGATCCTGACAAAATCTGAGAGACTGCAACAGACAGAGAATAAGAAGAATGAACCGCATGGAGTATCGAGTGATGCATGGATGATGCATTTTTGTTGTCCGATCCCTCAACAAAAAGCAATAGGATTTTTCTATATGATTTTGGAATATTGCTGAAATAAGCTCTGTGGCAAACAAACCTTTATGACACTACATGCTCTGTTCAGCAAGACAATCTCCACATATTAACATATATTTTAGGATTTATTTTCGGAGCATAAATGCAATCAACAGATGCAAACATTTACGTATTTTATATAACATGTATATCTCTTGAGCTTGTCTTAACCACATATCTTATTTTAGGCAACTAACCACTAACACATTCAAAGAAATTCATTTAATTAATTTAAAGGTGGGGTAGGTAATTTTGGAGAAACCAGCTCGAGTGCGCTAGAATTTGAAAATACACAGCCGGAAGACATCTGCCACTTCCTTATAGAGCCCCTCCTCCAACACACACGAACGCGCACATGACCAATGAGGGCACGAGATACATTTGTGCACAGATGGAAGACTGACAGGCAGGTAGGCCATCCATTTATTTTAGCCGGGCCGGCTCAGATGATTGGTCGTGTTTTTTACAGCGCCACGGCTTCCAGAGATGAAATTTTTTTTGTGGATATTTTGTCAAAGCACTTAAGATATTCATTGCTATCTGGATGTTAAGAGCATTCCATGGAATATAACAAAAAGTGTATCTCGAGCCGGTTTCTCAAACTTACCTACCCCACCTTTAAGGGAACTGGAAGTGGTAAAATGCTACCACTTTTCTCTATTTTAGGACTCATTCACTCTATAGGAGTATGACAATGTGACAATGTAGTGAAAGATGAGCGGGTGAGTGCAGATCTGAGCTCTGAACTTACCTTGACACAGAAGTGTGAGAACCTCCCTGCTCTCACAGTCACTGAAACAAAGACAGACACAGTGAGTAAGAGCCAGACAGAAAAAAGGGAACTGAAAAATCAGTCAGCTTCCTCTATGTCAACCAAGTAGTGGAGTGAGAGAGAAGGAAGCAGGAGCAACAGAGAGGGGAGTGTGGTAGAAGGTGAGACAGGTGCAGGGTCAAACAGACGGGTGTCTGTTACCATGGGAACAATGAGTCTTCGATTTTCTTGCCGTAGCTGAGCTCTTGCTCTCGGACACAGAAGAACTCCCCGCCGTCTCCGCTGGCCTCCGGCACCGATGTGACCGAGTAATTCACCATACTGAGACACACACACACACACACACACACAAACACACACCGTTTACATTATACCGCATTAAAACACTATTTGTGATAACATTGTAAAGATATCTCACCTGACAAAGCCCACTTCTTCACAGCTGATGCTAGCTAGCAGCTCATTGGCTGAGGAGGAACACACCTGTCGCCACCTCTTGTGGGCGGGGTCAAAGACTCTGAGATGTTGGTCAAGAGAAGTCACCTGGACTGTAGGGAACAAGACAGGGTTATTCAAAAACAAGCTTTAAACAATAGCGCACACTCCTGCTAACCCGACATATATTTGTTATTTATTTTCTCCCTGTGATGATCATTTCTGCAATTGTTATAACCCAACATACGTTTTCTGACTTATATTCTGCCCCTTTAAAGCAACATTTGCCATTTCAAAGAACATAAACATCACCTTTCTTACTCGTTTTTCCATTTAACCTCAGTGTTGAACCTGTTGTTACACAATTTTATAATACATATAAAAAATAATGAAACTGCAGCTAAGCGTGAATCTGCATCAACATTCATAAACGTATGAAATCATCAAATATATTTATGTCTTCACTCAAGCAACAACATTGTTACCTTGTCCAGGCGTAAATATGTTATTTGTTTCTTAATATTACATCCCTGCATTAGAAAAAATTACTACAGGTGAAATGTGTTCTTTATCATAATAAAGTATAAGAATAATAATAAAAAATCCATGAATTTAAAAAAATCTCCCACCTACTCACCATCATACAGCCCAGAGTCTTCCTCCATTGTACAATATGAAACTACAGAACGGTGATAAAAAACAGCAGCCATTTTTTAAGTGAATGTGATTGAAAGTAAGAAGAAGAAAAAATAATGTTCCTGAGGCTTTTAATTGTAAGAACTTTAAATGAAAGAGTAACAGATTATTGGAATCAGCATGCAGTCTGACCTACGGCCCAGACGGCAGCTCCGACGGCTCCCAAGGTCATCAGGGTCATACACGCCCCAACGACACGGCAGGGCGTCAACACACAGGTCAGAGAGAGTCCCCTGTTCGCTGCAAACACACACACAACACATACATGAGGGCACATACACTCATTTGACAGTATGAACACAGAGACACAAACATGAATGCAGACATGCCATAGCACTTAGACAGCAGCACTGGTAGTTAGCTGAAGACTTTGGGAATGAAATACAAATAATAAAAATAACAGTGACCTCATTTGATAGATACAGATTTGTTGGACAATCTAATACAGGGGTGTCAAACTCAATTTCATTGCGGGCCAAATTCGCATTATGGTTGCACTCAAAGGGCCGGCTGTAACTTTAAGACTATATAAAAATACATATATAAAAATGTAATATAAAATAATGTAGTACATTGGATTATTATCGGATAGGGTAATAACTTCCTAATTAACTACGTCTGAAAGCAGAAGTCTAGCAAATAATTGCAAGTCTCTTCAGTGAGAATGTCACAAAATGATTTAAAAAGAAAAGCCA